AGGATATTCGTGAATAACCACGCAAGGACGGTGGCAACTGTAATGGTATGTGCTCAAGTACCGATGAAATTTCTGTTCCAGTATTTTTTCCATCTCAATCGCTCGTCAAGGATTATTTTTCGTTATGAATGTTCGTTTTAAGTTACAGTCTCGAAAACTAGATTAAGAATTTTGCTGAAACCTTCTGTGCTTGTAGAGAATTTAATTCTCTTTCCAATAGATCACTTGGCATTTACGGATGGAACTTCTGTACCGTCACTTTTTCCATTTCGCTTGCAAAGGCATTATTTTTCGTTATGAAGGTTCATTTTTGAATTTTCGTTCAGTATTTTTTGCCTTATCGACATAACTTTGTTACTTTCCAAATCCAACGATTATATCAAATGACTAGTGATGTCTCTATGCCGCATTTTTGGTGGATCTTCCGTTCTGTTCTGTTCTGCCCTTCAACGCTTCTATCCTATTCTATCCTGTGCGTCCCTCTTTTGAGAACTGTTCTATTCTGTTCCTTAGAACGTTTCTTAAAATAGAATAGGAATAGATCATTTTAACTGGAATAGAGACATCACTACAAACGACCACATTCAAGAAGCTCGTTAAAGGTAATCCAATCGTCTTTGATGGTGAGTAAAGCAAAGGAGAGTCGAATGAAAGGAATGAATCGATGTCGATTGTTTTTGTTCGTACAAACAAGCGTGAGAGTGAATGGCAGACAAAAAATGATCGAAGGAATTGTAATATCGCATACCTACGTTCTTTTTATCGTTTGATCGTGCGTGTTTATTTTGTCTTTAAAACATTCAAGTTGGTATGTTTCGAGAAAGCGCTTCCAAAACGTTTATAACATATAATTATCATCAACAACATTTGAAACTACTGATCAGAAAAGGCATGACTCGTGTAGGAGAGTTTTGTCGTGGAACGTAAAATTTCGTTTTATGGCCATGAGATTTACAACGGTGTGTCGAAATTTGTGAATTTGATCGCAGCTGAACGTTCATTCATTTTCGATATCATGTCAACAGTATGATTATTGCACGATACTGTATCGTGAATGATAGCAGCATCATTAGCATGCACCATTTCAATTCATCGATAACTGTATACTGGACAGCTATTTATCGGAATATTTCGGCACATCATTGCTTGCCAAAGTTGTTTTTTTTCATAACGCATCTTGAATTCATTTTTTATTTCGAATTTTTCCTGACTGCACCTCTAAAATTTTTCGAATGGCTGTGAATAACACAGGTTGAATCATTTCCATCATTCGTTTGTCAGGAGGGATAGAAACAGCTACATAATTTCGAGTTTTTCGACCATCGAAGTGAGCATATTTTGTTCTGATTTTTGCAGCGATTTGTTAAGAAATTCTTTGGATGGAACTTACATTTGTTGGTCAGTTGCCGTGAGAAATGTAAACATTTCTTTTATGTGTCTCTTTTATCATAAACGAGCAGCAATTTGTAATTCAAAGTGCAGATTAAGATAGAAGTTGACAGAAGACAGTTTGCGTTTGAATAGGTAATAAGATGGTTGGTGTGAATGCTGGTGCTCTTACAATTAGAACGTTGTTGTTGCCGTTAGATGAGTCAAACAACCGTTTTGAACGATATTTGTTCAGATGAAAAGAATACCGACCGACTGAAGTGGTCGTTTTTAAACTGAGAAATGTGCTCATATGCATTTAACTTTTTTTCATCAAACTCATCATTGCTTAATTTGAGATGCTCTTTGAAGCCATGCGTTGGGAGATATCTCTTCAATGTCTTCATCTCAAGGAGGACTATCTCTGCTCACAAACCGCAGTTGTCAAGAATAATTTATTGTTCGGTACTCACGATTAGGATTTCTCGATATGTAAGAATGAGAGAGGTGTTCTTCTAACCGAATGCATCAATATTGGATTCACAGTTTATACTTGAACGATTTTTAAAACACTTCTGATATTTGATTGCGCTATGTGATATTTTTTAATCAGAGCATTTGTTTATTGCCCTCTTGGAACAAATTAATGAATGAATTTGCACGACATAATGAGCCAGTCAACATGAAACGGTGCTTATCAGAGTCGTACAGTTACTGATAACAAAGGAACGAAGGGGCAGCATTCACATATTGATATCTTCATTGTATCAATCAATCGACTCAGGTGATTGAATAAGGAGAAATTTACATTGAAGTGATTCTCCAAAAGCTATGAAAAGTTTGCTATATTCACAATTGTTAATTCACTAGAATTGATGCAATTTTAAAAATGGCCAATACCCATAACTGTACTGTATGGAAACTGATTCATTTGAAGAAGAATATCAGTAATCGAGAAGCATGTTGTTTAATAAGCTTACGAAAGTATATCGTTGACTTCTTTCAATAAAACTGAAACGTTCCATCAATTCGGGAGGTACATAAGTGAATCGTTTTAAAAAATAAGTTTAATAACGTTTCATGATTTGCTTATTGAAAGTTAATCGAATGAATTCAAATAAATTTCTATAGAAAAGCCTTTATAAAATAACAGATGAGTGCTAAGTTCGTTATTTATTGACAAAATAAATCCTTCAAATCAAATCAATCAAAGAATATTAGTTGGTTTTAGATACAATAAAACAACAAAATTGAATGTTCAAGAGTCGAATAAGTGAGTTAGTCCAGTTCGATGAAACTTTAATATTCGTGCTTATTCAGTAAATACAAAATCGTTTTTGATCTGAGTTACTGAAACTTTAATATTCAGTAAATACAAAGAGTTAGCATTGTTTCGAGCGTAACTTATAGAGCTTTAGTATAAACGCAGCCAACAATTCTTAGTGATAGCAATAATATTAATAATAATAACAATAATAATGATCCGAAACTGTGATCATTTGAAGGCAACAGTATAGTCGATGGAAGTAAAATGAACAGTAATTGATAAAATATACTGATGAAACGTTTCAGTTTCACTCAACAAATCAACCACTTCTGATGACCATCTCAAAAGCATTGATTTGGTGGCAGTATTTAATGTGTTATAAGCAAAGAAAAGAACATTAAAAATGCATTTAATTGCAGGTTATTGCTGGCATGTTATTATATCTTTTATCATGGTCTATGATATAAAATCGTGATGATGCAGTCAAACATGTAAATCTGAATCATTTTGAATTGATTTGATTATGTAATCATATAGACATGCTTAACGAAATAAATTACCAATCCTCTCACCAGAAAACTGTCAGTCCACGAATCAGAAAACATGAATTTTACACACTCATGGAAAGCAGTTAACGGTGTTGGTGCCAGAAAGCGATAACTTCAGTCACTGGAATTGAAACAGATATTTTGAATCATTTCGGTGTTTTGGTAATACGGTAATCGAAGTTTATTGATGAGTACATTCAATATTAGATTGTTAGTACAGAAGAGTGCATATCGTGGAAGTGAATAAATTGTCTGCAGAACTGATAACATCAATTGTTTTCTTCAAAACTTTGGACTGCTCACGTACTTTTTGCACAGTTGGATTCAAATGAGACGCAATGCGGTTCAGTCAAACTAGAACTGAAAACAAAATTGAAACATGCGTATGAGATAACTCGATCGAACGTTATTCACAATTCATTCGTTTCATTAATCAACGCAATTTTTACACTTGCAGTTATAATGAGAACAGTTTGGCACTGATCGAGCAGTGATGGACTGATCGATTCCGTACATTTTTGAGAGGGAAAAATCATAAACCATTGTCGCAGCAAAAATCATTGCATTTTTCATAACGTAAAAATACGCATTCTTTCGAAATTTATGGTTCATAACATCCTTTGTGGACAGTTTCCAAAGAAGGACATTAGCTCAAAGTGTAGTTTAAAGATAATTTGAATTGATCAGCTATAGGTAAGGTTGAGGTATCAACAGTATCTATTTGGTTGATGATGGAACCCCATTACGATTATTCATTTAGATGAGAGTTCAAATTGGAATCGATAATTTACACAGTTTATAAGAGCACAGCGAACAATATTACAACGAATTCGAAGTTATGAGAAGAGATAACGCAAAAAATTTTTAAAAAATTGAGCAAAAAATAAGGTCAAACAAACAATTGTGTGGCAAAAGAATTAGACATGAAATGAAAACGAGTGATATGAGAATATCGTAAGAAGATTGTTACACTCATAAATCATAAAATAAGAGATACTCGACATATCACCTTTGATCAAAACTCACAACGAATAAGCAATCACCCGAACAGTCGCACTTCATTTGCACTCGCTTCATTCACTTACTCAAGTACATTAGCAGTGAACCAGGCTAGACATACTAATTTTCTCATACGAATATCATTTCAGTTCAACGCAATTTGCATTTAATCCGTTCATTCGATTCTGATCAAGCACTTGGATCAAAATCGATTAATCCGAATATAAACGTTCCGAATGCTACGATCAATGAAGTAATTCGTTTTTTGAGTAGCATAACCAGAAACAGTTGATATCAATAGAATATTTGATTTTTACAAACAATTGGACGAATATTATCGTTAAGGATGATGAATGTGGATGATACAAATCAAATGAACACACAAACTATCAATGAAACTAATAATAGTAGACGAATTGGTGAATCGTGCTCAGCTGATTTCGAAGGTGTTGAAGTTGACACAACAAGCGGCGGTTTTGTTCGAACTTCTTTCACTACTTCTGGTGTTTCTGAAATCGAGTAAACTTAAATTACATCAAAATTTCATGCCTTCCCTTTAGGGTTGTTTCACTCAAACACTTGCTCACTGCTGATGATAATGATGGCTGACTGAGGCGCTCCAAAAATCGTAACAAACGAAAATTCGTGTCAAGATCGTGTGAAATTATTTCGAATGATAATGAAATATGTACAAAATCCCAGCAATATTCGCTTGATTCGACGAGAGCAGTTTAATATTAACGATGTATGTGCCCATCTCATTACGTCCAAAATTTGCTTATCTTTAGATACCAATTGACTATATAGAAACGTGAGTTGGTTGACACTTTAATAAATTATGTGGATTTCTTGGTTATCGATCTTTTTAGATATTACTTACGAACCAATTCATATCTCAATATTGAATGACAAAATGAATCATCCTTGTTCAACTGATGTTCACATTTAGTGCAGAATCATTTTGGATCCAGATAAGAGTACGCTCAAAGAAAGCTTATAGAACGCCTCATATATTATGTATGTGTACTTGTTCGTAAGCACGTTTTCGTTCGTAAATATTAGCATCATTGATGCTATCGCGCTTGAGCCAGGGCGATGATTTGCTTGGTATCTATTCATATAAAGAGTCAATATTTTCGTACATGAATGCAGTTCAACATATTATCAAATTAACACTTCAGATTTTCTATTTTTCACGGCTGAAGCAATTAATAGCAGTTCAATCAAGTACCTAATTGTTTTATTACGTAAAAAAACAAAAATAGCTCCACCAACAAGCGCAGAATAATAATGTAACCCAAAGTGATGTCGTTTTGCTAAGTCGAATCAACTTGGATAAAAGTAGGAACATGATAATAAAACTCAACGAACCAGCAGATATAGATGTTGTTTGTTGCACAATAGTTGGTGATGGGGTTGATGGTTTAACATAATCATGGTGGCGATCCGATTCGACTGGTTCTATCGCAGGTATAGCTTCGTCCTGATCGTGGCCTGAGCCTGACCCTTCCACACCTATATCTTCATCATCCGACCAGTCCATCCCATTCCCCGATCCTTCTTCATGCTCAATCACCTGCACTTTTATTCATCATCTCCTTTACTGAACTATCACAATCAATGACAGTTTCAAACTGCTCACAGTTAGCAAATTTTGAAAATACTGTACTCTCCATATTTTCAAAATTTCGACGTTTAAAATTAAAAACACTCGACCGTTCCCTTTCCAAACAAAAACTTCAGTTGTTTTCTACAAAAGAATGGACCAAAAAAATCGATCATCTCTCCCCTCCCCCGCCTAGAATTGTATTTAAAGGATTTTTGTACTTATATTCAGTGCAGCATTTGAAGATTCATACTCACCTACTTCTAGAAAAGCAGCTTTGAAAAGTGATGAATTTCACTGATTATAAGAGTGCAAGGAGGAATTTTTAAAATTTACTTTCGAAACTTCTGCTGTTGTTCAAAATTGTTCAACCGAATGACATTGTTGCACTAAACAGTAGCGGCCATATAAACTCATGAAACACTAATCAAAAGTAGTATATTCAATGAATGCATAAATCATAGCTGAGGTATACATCTGTGTGTGTGCATGCATGCGATAATAACAACGAATGGCATTTCACACTGTTTTGAATTCATCTAGTCAGTGTTGTTGAACTGATTGTGAGCAATGTCATACAATGTCCCAATAAAAAGACCTCTATCAAATGGACATGATTGATCGTGGAAAGAGTACGACTAAATACAAGTGCCGAATTCCATAACCATTCATCAAATGAGCCTAGTTGCTTCGATCACGGATCAGATGTCAATTATTGATTGCGCTGAGGTATTTTCATATGTAAACAATGAGACAGACATCCTTGCTGATGCATCATCATCCTCAACGCTTCATAAGTACGTAAGAGAGTTTGCAATAACTTTTCTTTCATGAATTCTGCAACTTAAGTGGTATTTTGAATACAACTGTAAAATCTTGTCATGAAAGAGACGACTTCCAACTGAATTCGAAATGTCTCTAAATGATTACAGCTTAACGAAAACGATTCTTCTGTTTGCATCCTTTTTTTATCCGACAAAAGATAAAATCTCAACTTTATACGCAGTTTGCACTGTGTAAATCATTGATGACTATTTATTAAACTATTCACCTGCAACCTTCGTGCAAATTTTTGTGTGTGGAATGAGTATGTATGAATAGCAAAAAAATGCGTGTTTCATAGTGTTAAAATAGCAGTCGTAGCATGATATTATATAATACTTCGCGGTGGCTGTAGTATTATACTAATGTAAGCAAAGCAGAAGGCAGGGGAATGAATAATCAACGTAATCAATCTCATCTCATTCACATTCTTCTTTCCTTCTGAACGTAATCTTATAATAATAGAAATAGCGTCTTAAAATGTTTTTATTCATCTATTCATAACAACAACAATAATCAACAAAAAATGATGATGCTGCTGCTGCTTACGAATAAATAATGTAAGATTAACGCTTAGATATGCTAATCAGCAAATAAAAGGAGAATCGCTTTCCACATTGAATAATCAATCGTTCATGAAGAATGCAATGAATAATAATCTATTATATTAATCTTAAATGGTACATTCTTTTCAACTCAACGTCAGTGAACTAACATAGAGCATGGCAACTATCACTCTTATTACAAATTATTTTTGAAGGTGTAGCATTCTGCATTCAGTCGTAATCTACTCAAGCTGTGCTAACAATGGGGCATTCGACTGTAATCAAAATGTCTGTCCGTATTCTGACCGCACCAAGCAACAGAATCAGCAGTTGTGAAAGAACATTCAACTGAATCAAAATAAGTTGAAGGAATCGTGAACTTTACATATCAGTTCTTGACTATTTCGACTGACTCACAACCAGTGTCGTTCTTGTTAAGTGACTATCAAGAAGGATTTCGTTCGCAATAAGTCAGCGTTTGATTCTGTGTGACTCTCGAGAACACTTCCAATACTAGTTTTGACGACAGTAGTTTGCATGACATGCATTGAAATGATTAATGTAATCGTCAATTATATTGACTGCACCAAAGCACTTATGCTCACATTCGTGGTGAATTATTTCATTCGATCGAAAATTTATATTGTGCAATGCTAAGTTTATGGCACAACAACTTTGAGGAATAAAATTTGATTGATTCATTGTAATGGAAAATCGTGCATTTGAAATAATGCGTTGTTCAAATTGAAAGAAACTGCACTTGGAACGTTGTTTGGAATAAATGATACCTCCGTTGATTGGATAGCTAAAGCAAGAAATTTGATGATGTCCTGATAATCACATTTTGGATTGCAGATCATACGAAAATTCTATTTAAGGATGTTACGAATAATGGTATTGGTCGAACCACTGCAAAACGGTTGGTAACAGAGAATGAAACATTTCATTACTTAGAATCGATTAATCAGTATTTGGATCAGTGGTGGTACGCGTGATTTTGTTATGAAAGCGATGATATATTAAGTATGAAGAAGAACGATATAACTGGAAATGACAGTTTTGAAAATGTCTGTCTGAGAAAACCAATTGTTGAATGAACGTTAAAGCTTAACGACAATTCCTATTGTTTCGTTGTTCTGTGCAAACAGTGACTGCTTTAAAGTCACTCGTATCAACAGGTCGTTTAAGCCAAATTTGTTTTACTCAAATAATTCGATGAAGAGAATATTGCTGCGTTATGATAGCTTCTCTGTATCAGATCTAATGACTTACCACTGTAGTTGACTAATTGCAAGGTTATTTCAACCCAAAAAGCTCTAAGATGAAATATTGAGATGTTACTGTTTGAAAGAGTGAGTCAATATTGATATTTGCGGTAATCGATTAATAAAGGTAAATAAGACAATTGACATTCGACGATTCCGTTAATAAACACTATTGAATCGAGTGTAAAATAATGTGAAGAAGCGAGTCACTAATATTTATTGAGATATGCAAAAAGTAAAGCAGATAAGACTGAATGCAATTAAAGACACAATGCAATCACAATATAATGCGATCACTTG